CGTGCGAGTCTCGTGTTTGGCTCGAGAGCTTTGCACCGCGTCGACGCTGAGTATGGAGTGCATTCAGCGCCGGCCGAGCGGCCTGAGCGAGAGGAAAGCGGGCCCAAGACAATCGACGACTCTGCTCCTCGGCGGCGGCGCTTGAGCACCTCCACCTCATCCGCGTTCACCTGGTCGCACCGGCTGCACCTCGTGCCACTCTAGCAGCACCCTACCGACCGTGCACCACCGCTGAGCGACCCGCCCCTCGCTCGCACGACTCGCAGCCCCGCCCCGCGTCTCTCATCGCCCCCTCGACCAACACCCGCGCCCTCGCTCATCGTCGTCGCCGTCGAGCGACCCGCACACGGCCGCCATGGCCTACAGCAACCAGCACTACCAGCCCTACGGCTCGAGCGCCCCGGCTTACGGCGGCGGCAGCTCGTCTCGGTACCCCTCTGCCCCCGCCGCCTCGAACCCGTTCGCGTCGGCGAGCGAGGTCGACCTGCACGCGCCGTACTCGTACGGGTCGGGCCCGGTGGCCGGCTCGACGACGTACCCGCCGCACAGCGGCACGCCGCCGACGGGCCTGTACCAGCACGACGACCGCGCCGGGTCGGCTTGGTCGCTCGACGACCACGATCTCGCTTCGGGCGGTGGCGGCGGCGGCGGCGGCGGGTACGACAAGGTGCAGCGCAGCGCCGACAACCCGTTCGCCGAGGGGTACAAGGGCGGGTCGTCGAGGAGCGGCGGCGCGGGGGGAGGAGGAGTGGGCTCGCGCAAGAAGTGGATCTGGATCGCGCTCGTCGCGCTCGTCGTCGTGGGAGGGATTGCGGGCGGCATCGCGGCGTGGAAGGCGACGTCGAGCAGCTCGTCGTCGTCGTCGTCGTCGTCTTCTTCTGGAGGATCGGGCAGCGGCAAGATGCAGTACATCGAGTGCGTCCCCTCTCTCCCTCCCTCTCGCCCTCTCTCGGCGTCGAGCGGGCCCGACTGACGCAGGTCCGACGCACCCGCAGCGGCACGGCCAAGGTCGTCAAGTCGAACCCGTCCGACCCGTCCCAGTTCGAGAAGGACTCGCGCCTCAAGCCCGCGTTCTGGGCCATGGCGTACACGCCCAAGAACGTCCTCGAGGAGTACGGCTGCGGCGCGACGCTCGCCAACGTCACCGAGGACATCCAGCTCCTTTCGCAGCTCACGAGTGCGTCCCCCCTTCCTCTCTCCCTCTCCCTCTCTCCCTCCCTCCCTCCCTCCCTCGCTCCCTCCCGTCCTCGCTCCCTCCTTCTCTCTGTGTCACCTCGAGCCAGCGCACAAGCCTGACCGGCCGCTTTCCTACGCCCTCCTCGTGCAGCCCGGCTCCGCACGTACAGCACGAGCTGCAACCAGACGCAGCTCACGCTCCAGGCGATTGAGGACACCAAGGTCAACATGACGGTCTGGATCGGCGCCTACGTCGGCGACAACTCGACCGTCAACGAGCAGCAGCAGCAGGACGTCCTCGACGCGCTCACGCTGTACGGCACCGAGCACGTCAGTGGCATCACGATCGGCAACGAGTGCGTCTTGCCCTTCCTCCTCCTCCTCGTGTCCTCGACGAGCCGGGAACTGACTCGCTCGCGAGCGCAGGTACGTCCTCGGGCAGGAGAACTCGGCCGCCTCGGTCCAGTTTATCGTCGCTCAGCAAGCCGCTGTGCGTCCCCTCTGTCTCTTCCCTCCCCTCTCTCGCCGTCGCGCCCCGTGTCTCACGACGTTCCCTCCCGGGACACAGTTCCGCACCAAGCTCGCCGCGCTCAACCTCGACAAGTCGCTCCCGGTCGGGACGTCGGACGCCGGCTCGTCGTTCAACGCGGCCCTCACCGAGGGCAGCGACTACATCATGGCCAACGTGCACCCGTGGTTCGGCGGGCTCGCGATCGACCAGGCGGCCGGGTGGACCTGTGCGTCCTCCCCCTCCTCCCCCTCCCTCCTCCTCCTCTCCCCCACCCTCACCGTGACTGACCTCTCTCTCTCTCTCTCTCGTTGCGCGGCAGGGGATTTTTTCGAGCAGAACGACGTCGTCCTCGCCGAGGCGGCGTCCAACAAGCCGACGGCCTACATTGCCGAGACGGGCTGGCCGACCCAGTCCATGACGCCCGAGAACGCGACCCTCGGCGCCGCCGTCGCCGGCGTCGGCGAGCTCCAGACGTTCCTCGACACGTACCCGTGCCAGGCCAACGCCAACCAGAGCTGTGCGTCCCCGCCCCGCCGTCTTTTTTCCAGAGCGCCCCTCGAGTCGTCCGTCGTCGTCCTCCCTCCCTCACCGAGCCGGATTCCTGACGATCCTGTTTGCTCTCTCCGTTCCTGCACAGACTACTTCTACTTCGAGCCGTTCGACGAGCCGTGGAAAGGTCCGTCACTCTTTCTCCCTCTTGCTCGCAGGCTTGCCCCAACCCGAACCCGAGCTGAACTCCCTCCCCTCCCCTCGCCGCAGAGCGATTCGGCGGCGTCGAGCCAGTGCGTGTCCCTCGCCCTCCTCTCTCTTCCCTGCGCACACGCACACGCATACGCGCTCGGGCCCGACCCGACCCGAGCTGAGCAGAGCTGACCTCGCCCTCTCGCCCTCTCGCGCCCTCGCAGTACTGGGGCCTGTTCGACTCGAACAAGGTGCTCAAGGACATTACGTTTCCTGACTGCCCGATCGACTCGACACATGCGTCGGGTTGAGGTCCTCGCTGTCGTCGCCGTCGTCATCACCGTCGTCCGCCCCCTTCCTTCCCTCCTCCCTCGTTGGCGCTCTCGTCCCTTTCCTCTATCGTCCCCCATCGCGCCCCTTCCTCTACAGACACTCGCGCACCCCCTCGTCCTGTGTAGGGCCCCCTCTCGTCTCACTGTTATACAACGCCTGCCTGCTTCCCCGCCGCCGTCGTCGTCGTCGTTGAGCTCGCGGCAAGGTCGAGAGGCTCTCGTCGCTCTCTCTCTCCAGGTCTCGCGGGCGTGCTCGGCATGGCCGCGGCTCGCTGCCGACCAGGTTTGACGCTGCGGTGCCTGCACGAGGGCGTGACTGTTTCTCGCGCGCTGAGAGAGCGCCGAGCCTGGCGCTCGCGCGCGCGCCGCTCGAGCCTCTCAAGCTCTCGGGCTTCCTCGCTCTCGCTCTCGCTCTCGCTCTCACTCTCAGCTCTCGCCCACGCACTCGGTCGTCCTTGGCACCTCGTTCAGTTCATTGGGCACTCTGCGGCGGCTGGGGCGGCGGCTCGTCGTCGTAGTAGCGCTGCTTCAAGGCGCGGTACTTGCGCAGGCTGTACATGGCCTCGAGCTCTGCGCACGCGGTTCGTGCGCGTCAGTGCGCGTGTCGTCGTGTTCGCCCGAGAGGACGAAGAGAGAGGACAGAGGGAGAGAGGGGGACGCACCGGCCTTGATGTACTCGGCCTTGCGGATCCCCTCCTCGAGTTTGGGCGCGTCGGCGCCGACGTGCCCGAGGAAGCAGCGGTGGAGGCGGTCGTGGATCTTGTACTGTGTGCTCTGGGGCGTGTCAGTGCTTGGTCGGTAGAAGGAGAGAGAGAGAGAGGTTGGGGGCGCACGGCGGGATCCGGGTACTCTTTGCCGAGGAGGTGGAGCTGCGGCGAGGAGGAGGAGGGCAGGGTCAGCGCCGTGGCCTGGTGAGCGGCTGGGGCACCTCGAGAGAGCCACCGCCTCGTGCCCGGGTGAACTCTCGTGCTGCCCCGACGCGCCGATGACGAGCACAGGGCGAGGTGGGGAGGCTCGCGGACCGATGAGGGGAGGGGGGGGGACGCACCTCTTTGTACAGGGCGCGGGCGCGCAGTCGGAGCTGGTGGAGGCTCGACAGCTTGGGCGGTGGTGGGGCTTGGCCGGAGGGGGGGCTGGCCAAGCTCTCGAGAGTCGAGGGACGACCAGGAGCGAGACGAGGAGCGACGTCGGCTTGGCCCTCCCTCGTCCGCTTCACCGCTGCAGTCCCGATGCCCTCGCACGCCGAGCTGACGGCCGCCCTCGCGCGCTACCCAGCCGCGCTCGAGCTGCGCGCCTCTGCCTCGCCCCGGACCTCCGCCGACCTCGTCGCCCTCGACCAGTGGTACCGCGGTGCCTTCTTCGACGCGATGCAGCTGGAGGCGCGCACGAGGGCAGCAGCTTCTTCGGGCGAGGACGAGGGAAAGGGCCGAGAAGGAGAGCGCGGCGAGGACGACGACAACGACGACGACACGGCGTGGCTCGTGCGCCTCATGGACTGGAAGCTCGCTGTGCGTGCGCCTCTCTCTCGTGCCGCACACGTACGCAGACCGACTCACTCTCCACCCCCCTCCCCACACCACAGCGCGGCAAATGGCGCCCGCGCCTCCAATCCCTCGCAGCGTCCAACCCTCCGTCGTCCATCCGCGCCGCCCTCTCCACCTCCCTCGCCGCCCTCCCCTCCCCCTCCTCCTCCTCCTCCTCCTCCGGACAACAAGCCGCCCTCGACGCCCTGTGCACCCTGCGAGGCGTCGGCCCCGCCACGGCCTCTGCGGTCCTGAGCGCGCTCGACCCGCAGCGGCACGCCTTCATGAGCGACGAGGCGCTCGATGGGGTCCGGGCGCGCGCCGAGGGCGAGCCTGGTGGCGCCGAGGGTGCGAAGCGCGAGTACACGGTCAAGGCGTGGAGGGAGTTTGAGAGCGCCATGAGGGAGAGGAGAGACGACGAGGGGTGGGAGAGCGTCGAGGAGCTCGAGAGGGCGCTGTGGAGCTGGGCCGTCGAGCGCCGGTATGGCGGTGCAGCTGCGGCACAGGACGACGACGAGGGTGCGTCGTCGTCGGCGACAAAGGGCAAGAAGAACAAGCGCTCGAGCAGCAGCGGCGGCAGCGGCGGGACTGCAACCAAGAAGCGCAAGTCGACCTGCCCGTCTCGCGCGCGCCGCTCTCGAGAGAGACGAGAACTGGTCTTTCTCCCTCGCTCGCTCGCCCGTCTACGCCCCCCTCCCCATCTCAATCCCGGCACTCTACACCCTCCTCCCCCTCTCGACCGCCTCCTTGAGCCCCTCCACCTCGTCGAGCCTCTCGCGCAGGAGCCCCTTGTCGCCCTCGACCGTGCCGCCCTGGGCCCACGCCGTGCGCGACAAGGGGCCGACCGACATGGCCGTGTAGGAGCGCAGGAGCGCCTCGACGCCGGTGGATGGCGCGGTGGGCGCGGGTGCGGCGGACGAGGAGGAAGAGGAGGAGGAGGAGGAGGAGGGTGAGGGTGGGGCGAGGCAGAGGACCCAGATGGCGTCGTAGCCGCCGGCTGCAACGACGAGAAGAGTGTCAGCGCGTCCTCGCACACGTCAGCGTCTCGAGAGCCGAGCCAAAGACTCGGCTCCGCAGGCGCATCTCGAGAGAGAGGAAACGAGCCCGACGCACCTCCCGGCACGCCTGCCCCGACAACGCCCGGCAGCGCCGAGCACGCGTCGAGGAGCCGAGTCTGCTCGGGCGGCTCGATCGGGACGCCCGACGCCGAGCCCATGTACCGGATGTGGTTGCGGATCGTCTGCCCGGGAGAGGAGAGGAGGTCAGTGCGGGACGGGCGAGGGAGGAGGAGGAGGAGGGAGGGGAAGGGGACGCACGAGGATGTCGTTGACGGCGTTGGGAAAGGGTGTGCTCGAGGTCGTCCACTGTCGAGGGGGAGGAGGGTCAGGTGACTCGAACCTCGAGCCGGGAAAGAGAGAGAGAGAGAGAGAAAGAAGGAGAGAGCGGACGCACCTCGCTCGCCGGCAAGCCCGCCAACCGCCTCACCTCGCCCTCGTACGCCTCCCTGTCCTCCTCGGCCGCGCTCGCGAGCGCCGCAAACGTGTCCCTCAGGCGCGCGTTGCTCTCGCCCAGCTCGCGCCACACGCGCTCGGCGTCGCTCGGCTCGGCCCGCTTCCACGCGAGCACCTTGCCGACCATCGAGGGCGTGTTGGACCCGGCGTCGACGTCGGCGAGGAGCAGGAGCGTGTTGGGCGGGAGCGCGAACGACGAGACGGACCCGGCGGTCGAGGAAGAGGCCCACGCTGGGTTGCTTGACGGCGACAGGGCGGCGAGGAGGTCGGCGCCCGTGATCTGGAGGACAGAAAGGACCGAAGGCATGTCAGTTTGTGCGGCAGAGACGGTGCCGAGAGCGGAAAGAGGGGGCGGGCCGACGCACGGTCGACTCGCGAGACGAATTGGGGCTGAGCAGGTCGCCGAGGCACTCGACGGCGAACCGGCGGTACGTCTGGCTGCCGTAGATGGCCGTCGACACGTCGAACCCGCTGCCGACCTTGCCCTGCGCGAGCGAGTGCACGTACTGCGCGAGGTTGTGCAGCAGCTCGACCGTCGCCGCGTCTGGGTTGGGCAGGCGGCCGTGCTCGGACGCGGTCGAGGCGTCGTCGGGTGCGGCGGTCCAGTGCAGGACGAGCGCCGACGTGAGCGACGTGACCATGGCGGCCGACGAGCCGAGGCCCGTCTTGTGCACGTCGCGGATCGTGCAGTGCAGCGGCGCGAACGGGATGGGCGTGTCCTGCGGGTGCGCAGCTCAGGGTCAGTGGGGTGCTTGGACTTCGAGTCAAGGGCAGGTAGAGCGGCAAGGAGCTCACGGTGCGCGACTGCGAGTAGAAGTCGTTCGAGCCGACGATGGTGACGGCGAGCGGGCGGAACGAGGCCGACGGGTTGAGCGCGCTCGCGACCTGGAGCGCCGCGCGGACCGACAGGTGCACGAACGAGTTGGAGGCGGACCTGCCGGTTACGAGGTGCAGGGTCAGCTCGCGGGTCGAGGGGGGAACACGAGGAGAGGGTGCGAGCCCTTGGTGCCCAGCTCGAGCCACGGCACGAAGGCGCACGAGAGAAGAGTGGACGCACCCTTGGCTCTTGTCCTCGTCGACGGTCCACTCGCCATCGACCCTGCGCGCCTCGTACCTCCACCGCCCGTCGTCAAACTGCGGGCTCACGACCTCGATCGCGAACCGGTCCCGCTCTGCCGCTGCGCCCGCCTCGCCCGCGTGCCGCTCATCGACGACGGTGAAGAAGCGCGAGGGGGTCGCGACGACAAAGCCCTGGTGGGCGCGGTCGAGGACGAGGTAGCCGCCGGCGAGGAACACCTTGCCCGGGCACGACACGCCGGTTGGGGCGCGGCGCTGGGCGGTGGTCGGGGCGGTGGCCATGCTGGCGGGCTGTGGTGCGGCAGAGAGCTGTCGGCTAGCTCTGGGTGCCGGCTGAGAGCGAGGACAAGGAGGTTCGACTCTGATGAGACTCGTCCGGCGGCGAGCCTTTGTGCGGCCCTCTCGCGCAGCTGGGTCGACCATCGCTTCGCCAGCAGCTCTCGAGACAGTACTGCAACAGGACGCGCGACCGTACAGCGAATAAGAAGCGAGGTGAGGCGCACTCGTCGCTCGCTCCTCTCCCTCTCTCGCTCCGAGTCGAGCGTTCTCGCACCGAGCCCGACTCGCACAGACGCACAGTTTCCCTTGCACAACCCAGTACACCCTTGACAGTCCCTCGTCCCTCGCTCCCCGCTCACGGCCTCCATCCCGAGCGCTGCACCCACTCGTCGAACGTGCTCGCGCGAACGCCCAGCTCGCGACTCGGGTCGTCGGCGCGCGAGAACATGCCGTACGCCGTGTGCTCGGCCGGCGTCGTGTCGATAAAGCTGTGCGCGAGGTCGAGAGCGGCAGGTCAGGGATGTGCTCGACGAGGAGGAGCGCGAGAGAGGAGAGGACGCACTCGAACATGTCGCTCGCCGCCGCCTCGAGCACCTCGCCAAAGGGCTTGCCGTCCATCATGGCGTGCAGCTTGTCCTTCGACAGCGGCTCCCACACGGCCTTGTCGCCCGTCGCACGCTCGATCCCGCGCACAAGGTCGGCCGTGGAGCAGTGAGCCATGACCGGGTAGACCTTGCCCGACGTGAGCGACAGGGGCTTGTTGAGGACGGCGGCGGCAAAGACGCCGAGGTCGACGCTCGAGTCGGTCCAGCCGACGGCAGGGTCGGCGTGCTGCGACATGAGGGCGAAGCGGATCGTGCCGTCGGCTGCGGGCTCGTGCGCGCGCGAGTCAGTGCCGGCGCTCGAGTCGAGAGGATGAGGACGAGTCGACGCACGCTTGCGCTGCGTGTACCACGGGAACGACATGTTGCTGTAGAAGCCGCCTGCCGACCGGGAGAAGGAGAGTGAGTCAGTCGCTCGATCTGCGAGACGAGGAGAGGTTGGAGGGGAGCGCACCTGGAAGGAGGACCGTGACGTGCTCGAGCTGCTCGCGCGCGTACGTCTCGATGACGGCCTTGCCCTCGAAGTGGAAGATGCGCGGGAACTTGCCGCCGCTCAGCTTGGCGACGCTCGGCAGGCCCGACCAGATGAGGTGCTCGACGCCGGCGGCCTGCGGTACATGAGCTCGTCAGTTCGTGCTGCTGGACAAGACGAGGGTGCAGAGAGAATGTGGGAGGGTGACGCACCTTGACGGCGTCGACGAGGTTCTTGCCCTGCTGCACCTCGCTCGGCGAGGGCGTGGTCATTCCAAACACGGCGTGCGCGCCCTCGAGCGCCGTCTTGAGACCCTCGACGTCGTCAAGGCTCGCCTGCACGACCGTGAGCCGGCCGGCATCGACCTCGGCCTTGTGTTTGGCGAGGAGCGCCTGCGCCTTGTCGCCCGACGGCTCGCGCGTGAGGGCGCGCACGGTGTACAAGGTCGAGGACAGGGCGGCGGCGACGACGCCGGAGCCCTGGGAGCCGGTCGAGCCGACGACTGCGATGGTGCGGGTGGACATGGAGGTGATGTTGGGCGGGAAGGAGGTGAGTGAGGAGGAGAGGGAGAGGAGGAGAGGAAGAGGAGGACAGGAAGAGGAAAAGAGCGAGCTCCCGCACCGGTCGTAGACCTCGCCCTGCCGCGAGCCACTCTCTCCGACACTCACTCGCCGTCACAGCAAAGGGACCGACGACGGAGACAGCGCCAAAAGAGCGACGCGAACGAAGCGAGCCTTTGTTCCGCGCGCCGGACGGCTCGAGCGAGCGAGACGCGTCTCGCCGCTGGATTGCTTCGACGCGCGTCCCTGTATGCGCTCGAGAAGGGAGACAAAGACAGAGATGGAGCGAGCGCATGCAGCCCTCACGCGCAGGCGAGCGCCGCCGAGCTCGTCGAACGAGGAGGATCTCGAGACGGGGGAGGAGGGCACCGAGAGTGGCGAGGCCGGTGGCTGCGCTGCGCAGCCTGTAGCAAGAGAGCCCAAGCACCTCGTAAGCCAGCTCGTGGCTCTGCTCGTGCTGCTCAAGGGAGCCGTCGCGGTGGAACGACGACGACGACGACGCGGCCTCGCTCTTCCGTTCGTCACACCTCGACACCCCGGCCCAATGGCGAGCGCAGCACCAGCCCAGCCGGCACCGACCGCAGCACCGCATCAGCCCACGACGGCCAACCCGCAGCTGCTCCCGCTCCAGGAGGTGCGCCTCATCATCTCCCTCGTCCCCTTTCCTCCCTCCTCCCGTGACGGCCAGCTGACGAGGGCTTGCACACGCACACAGGACGACGAGTTTGAGGAGTTCCCCGCTGAGGGTGCGCCCACTCGGCCTCACCCGCTCGAGGGACACCGACTGACCCTCGTCCGCCTCACCGCCCCCTCCCTCTCCCCACCCGCTTCTCCTCCTCGCCCGCCCTGCCGCTCAATCTCGCTCGACCGCACCCTCCCGCACGCGTGCACGCAGACTGGGACGAGAAGGACACGTACGCGGCGTCGCTCGCGGCCAAGGCGGGCGGTGCGACCCAGGGTCCGGAGGGCGTCAAGGCGCTCGACTCGTTGTGGGAGGACGACTGGGATGACGACGACGTCGGTGACGACTTTTCGGTCCAGCTCAGGTGCGTCGCGCCGAGTCCCTCTTCTTCTCTCGGGGGTGGTCTGGCGGCTGCTGTGCGCGGCTGCCCGCTCTGCCTGCTGCTCGAGGTTCTACGCCAGCCTTGCTCACAAGCCCTCTCCTCCCGCACGCACAGGGGCGAGCTCATCAAGCAGCAGGACCAGATGCAGTCGTGAACGACAAGGAGGAGAGAAGGAGGAGCAGGGACGACCACCTCGGCCGTTCCATCGTCGTCGCGCCCGCCGTGTTCGAGGACCCGCCTTGCGAGCGCCCTCGCTGTAACCATCGCATGTTTCGTTCGTCTCTCTCTTCTCTCTCTCGGTTCGGAGAGGCGAGCCGCTGTCCTCGCGGCGGGCTTGTCGGCGCAGCCGAGCCCGACGAGCTGCTCGCTCGACGAGAGCGATGGCTGAGAGAGCTCGTCGCCGCCTTTCGAGTTCGAGCCTGGGCTCGCCGAGCTTCTCGTCGAGAGGAACCACTGCTGCGAGAGCTGCGCCCGAAAGAGAGATCTAGAGAGAGACGGTTCTGCGCGGCGAGGCAGAGGAGATCCGGCGCTCGCACACAGTTTAGTTCACGACGATGCGGCTCATTACTGTACTGTACAAGAGCGCTTGCGCCCGACAGAGCAGCAGACTCTGCGGAAGAAAAAGCCGTCCACATCGCGAGCGAGCGAACGACGGCTTCCCAGCTCTCGCTCTCCACAGCTGCGCACCGCGCCCGTCTGGACCCAGCGCTCGCTGCGTGGCTGCTCCTGCACTGCTGCTGCCCGCCGCCGCCGTGCGCGCACGCGCTAGCGCCCGTCCTGCGCACCCTGCCCGCCCCTCCTCCGCTCGAGTCGAGCGAGAGTGCTCTCCCCTCGTCGCGCGCTAGCTCTTGCGGCTCTGCGCTTGTTCTGCTGCGCCCGGCTTGCGGCTGTAGACCGGCGACAGGAGGCGGCCGGCCCTCGTTCGCGCACTCAGGTTCGTCCGAGTCGTCCTTTTCTCGTTCGTCGCCCTCGTCCTGTTGCCGGTCCACCTCGCTGACCTCCTTTGCCTCGTCCAGATCGCTCTACTCTACCTCTCGCCCCTGGCGCGTCGCCTATCTCGCCCGTCGCCGACCCTGGCGCGTCGCCTATCTCGCCCGTCGCCGACCGTCATGAGCAGTCCGCCCGCCTCGTCCGCCGCAGGCCATCGTCACGAGCAGGGCGACCCGCTGTTTCGTCAAACGCGAGCCGTGTACAGCTTTTTCAAGGACCCGGTCGGCGTCTCGCTCCACCGCAAGCACTTTACGTCCGAGGAGCTTGCGCGCCACAACGCCGCCTCGCTCAACCAGAGAGCGGTGCGCGGGTCGAACAGCGCCTTGCAGTCGTGGGACCAGATGTCGCAAACCCAGCACGAGCTGCTGGTCGAGCTCCTGCTCAAGTACTACTGCGAGTCGAGGGCCAAGCCGGAGAACAACGAGTGGCCTGTGCGTCGTCCGTTCCTCCTCCTCTTTCCTCCCTCCCGAGTCCGTCTACTGACGTCGGCCCCGAGCACATTTCCTTCCCCGAGCTGGGCAAAGAGATCGACTACCGGACGATCGCGCAGGCGCGCAAGTCACAGGTGCGCTCAATCTCGCTGTTGCGCACGAGCTCGTGCCCGTCATCTGACCTTGGGCCTCGTATGTGCAGCTTCCCGCCCATGTCCCCGACCCCTTCCAGCGACTCAACATGCTCCTGAGCCTGCTCACCACGCTCTACAACTCGCCTATCGACGAACGCGAGTTCGAGGCGTTCGAGGACATGCGTCACGTCATCGGCGAGGCGCGCAGGCAAGTGACGAAGGCCAGGAGCACCAACCCGTTGCGCGTTCTATTCGCCCAGCATGCCTTTGACGCTGCCGAAGAGCGCCTCGACGACCGGCTTGAGACGGCCAACGCGGCGCGCGAGGTGCGCCTCCAGCAGGTCAAGGCGGCCATGTCGCTCCTCCACGACAAAGCCGCGCTCTTGCCCGACTGGTCCAACGTGGCGCACCACGCCGCCGTCGAGGTCTACTTCTCGCATCTCGACTACAAGCAGCAAGCCGCCGTCGTCGCCCAGGTCCGCGAGTTTGTCTTTGCGGCGTGCGAGGAGCGGGCCGTGCGAGGCGAGGCGCTCAACCCGGACCACCATGCGCGTCCCTCTCTCCCTCACTCTCTACATCTCTCCCTCTCTTTCTCTCTCCCTCTCCCGTGTCGACCTTTCTGGCGACGAGGATCCTGACGACGCCCTTGCCCGCCGCCGCAGCTCGCCGAGATCCTCAACGCGCTGCGGGCGCACCACCTCGGCCACACGCTGTGCGCCGTTCGCCTAGCGTCGATTGTCGACTGCTTGGAGTTGCAGGATGCGCCCTCGCACGTCGTCGAGCACTTCCAAGCCGCCCACCACCAGTTCTGCAGCGTCGAGTGCACCGACCTGTTCTCGCACCTCGCCCTCACGCAGCAGGTGTACGCCGTCTCCAAGCTCCGAGATCTGCTTAGGCGCATCCAGACTGAGCCGTTCGAGGCTGAGCAGGTGGTGCGTTCCCTCACCTCTCCTCCCCCGGTCCCCAAGCCGAGCGAGGTCGAGACCGCCTGTTCCTGACGCTGTCCTTCCTCGTCTGTGCAGGTTGACGAGCTCGCCGCCATCCTCCCGATGTACTCGGAAGATTCGTCGAGCTGGAAGCACGCACCCAAGGTCCGTCCTCTCGTCCCCTGTCCCTCCTCACTCGCGCGTCCTCCTCTGACCCTCTCCCTTCTTCAGGTCGACGACCCTCCCGCCTTCCTCCACTCTCTCGCCCACAGCGCCTCGACCCGCCACGCACCTTTCGGCGCCGACTCGACGAGCTCGGCGACGTCGAGCCGCTACTTCCCGCAGGCGAGGAGCGCGAGGTGGTAGAGCGAGGACCGAGCGGCGGCGGAGCGAGGGGCGAGTGCAACGTGGGTCGTTCGAGCTCCACGAGGGCCCCGAGTCGGGAGAGAGGACTGGAAAGATCTCGACGACTCGTTCGAAGGCGCTCAAGCGTCGAAGCACGCGAGCGAGAGCTGGACTCGGAGGAGGAGGACGAGGCGGGCGACAGGTCTCGCGGCCAGCACGTTTGACGTAGCGCGCAGTCCGCTCTGTGAGAGTATCATGCAGCTCTCGGACGCACTGCCCCGGCCGCCCGAGGTCGACGTGGTGCAGCAACCACCTCGTCGCCGCCGGTTCCCGCTCGCGCTCGCACACGTCCAGCTACTCGCGCAGCATGGCCGACAGCCCGCGCAGGAACACGCAGGCCAACCGCCAGGCTCGCCGAGCACAGCCCTACGCCCGCCCGTCGCCTGCACCAGAGCCAGAGGCTTCGACCCCGGTCCGTCCTCCCATCTCGCTCGCCCTCTCTCGCGGCCTCGACACGCGAGCTGACCGTGTGAGCATGCCGCGCAGTCTCGTCTGAGAAGCCTCCTGTCCTACGTGTCGCCCTTCCGCTCGGCGCGCAAGCGCAAGGAGCCGTCGCCCGCCCCGCCTTCGGACGACGACAGCGACGACCACGCGCGCATCAAGGACGAGCACGACTCGGCAGAAGACGACTTTGCGTTGCATGGCAAGGTCCTGACCCGCTCGGGCGACGTGCGTCCGCTCTTCCTCGCCCCTCTTGGTGTCCGCCTCGCCGACCCCTCTCTCCCTCCCCCGCCGCAGTTCACCGACAACGTTCCCGCGTCGCCCTCGCCCTGGACCGGCTCGAGCACCCAGCGCTCGATCGGCTCTTCCCTCGCCTCGTCGGCCACCATGCCCAACCTCGCCGTCCTCGCCGCCGCCGGGCCCTCCACCTCCTCTTCCAACCTCACCACGCCGCACCTCCCCGGCGCCCTCCGCCGCTCGCCCAGCCACGCCGCCGGCAGCACCGCGCGTTACGCCGACGTGCGCTCGGCCTACGCGGCCACGAGCGCCCTCGAGTCGAGCTCGACGCACGCGACGCAGGAGCTCGCGCGTTTCTTCCAGGACAAGGCCGACCGCGGCGAGGACCGCCTCAGCGCTGTCGAGCAGGCCGGCGTCTTCCAGTTGATGCAGCGAGGTGCGTCCCTCGATTCGCCCCCTCAGTGACCCGCACGTCTAACGCCATGTCGCTGCCTGCAGCTCAAGCCGAGTCGTCCCTCCCGACCGCCTTTACCCCCAACTTCCGCTCTGCCTCGGCCCTCCCTCCCGCCCAGTCCGTCGCCTCGTCCTCGTCCAGCTCCGTCTTTGGCGGCCCCGCCTCGGTCGCCGGCAGCGCCATCCCGTCGTCCGCCGCCAAGCGCCGCCGGCCCATCTACGTCGGCGCCGGCTACTCGTCCCGCCGCCGCCGCGCCACGACGCTCGGCCTCGCGTCCACCACCACTTCCACTTCGAGCCTGAGCGACGCCGCGCTCGCCGACGGCAAGCGCCGCCGCACGGCGACCGACCGCGGCGACGAGGACGACATCCCGCTCGCGAGCCTCGACGACATGGTCGCCTCGCCGTCGCGGTTCGCCGCCGCCGCCGCGTCGGCTCCGGCGTCGCCTGCACGCACGAGCATGTCGGCGCCCGCCTCGGTCGCGCCCAAGCCTCGGTTCGGCAGCGCGTCGGGCTCGGGCTCGAACGGCGTCGGCGCGAGCGCGAGCACGAGCACGCCGGCCAAGCCCTCGCCGCTGTGGCAGGTCAGCGGTGAGTCGGCGACGCCGACACCGCCGCGCAGCAAGGCGGCGGCGCCCGTACCGTCGTCGTCGTCGACGCGCGCGGCCGACCTCGTCCTCGAGGTGATCCGCCAGGACGACGCGGCGCGCAAGAAGGCGCTGCCTGTTGCGGCGACGGCGGCGAGCGCGGGCAAAGGCGCGATCTTGAACCCGTATGCGGGCGAGGAGAACCCGCTCGCGATGGCCGGGCGCGTTGGGAGGAAGGACAAGGCCGTGCGTCCGCTTTCCCCTTCTCGCCTTCTCTCCTCTCTCTCCTTCAGTCAAGCCCTTTACTGACAGATATTGTCGCCGCCGCAGCAGACGGTCGAGAGCCCCAAGCCCAAGCAGCGCGTCGACAAGGTCGTCGCCGAGGTCGGCAAGCTCAAGGACGTCTCGGACGTGTCGCCGCTCGAGCAGCTCGAGCGCACCATGCCCGCCGTGCGTCCACTTCTCTCCTTCGACCTCGTTGCGCGTGTGTGCGTCGGGATCGTCGCTAATCGTCGTCGAGGTTGCAGGAGTACCGCCGCGAGACAAAGTGCACGACCAAGCCCGCGTCGCCGCCGCCTGCGCCCAAGCCCGAGCCGTCGGCCGCCGCGTCCGCTCCCGCGCCCGCGACCGCCAAGAGCAAGGGCAAGAAGGCCGTCGCCGTCGTGACGCTTTCGTCCGAGGAGGAGGGCGACGAGGAGGAAGAAGAGCGAGAGGACGAGGGCGAGGACGAGGAGATGGGCTCGGGCGCCGAGGTGCAGGACGGTGACGAGTCGGAGGAGTACGAGCTCGACGACGACATGGCCGAGGCCGAGACCGGCGAGGAGGAGCAGGAGGAAGACACCCTTCCCACACCACCCGCGTTTGCGCCCGCTGCCCAGACGCCCTCCTTCTCCTTCGGCGCCTCGTCGCTGCCCAACCCGTTCTCGACCTCGACCGGCGGCGCCTTCTCGTTCGGCTCGGCCACATACGTGCCGTCGTCCCAGCCCGCCTTTTCGTTCGGCGCGTCGACCTCGTCCACGCCGTCCTTCTCGTTCGCCCCTTCTTCCGCCTCGACCGCCGCCCCCGCACGTGCCCCGAGCGGCCCCTCGAGCGACGACGCCCAGGCGCTGCTCGCCTTTTCGGGCGCCGGTGCCGGCGCGCCGCAGCAGCGCCCGCTCACGCCGCAGGAGGCCAACATCCCGCCCGAGCCGCCCGTCTTCCCCGCTCCATCGTCCTTGTCGACGGCGCCGTCGCCTTTCAGCTTCGGCGCCGCCTCCTCGTCCACCGCCGCCGCTCCCGCCGCCGTCGCCGGCAACAGCGCCGACGCGGCGCAGGACCCGCAAGCCGCCGCGCGCGCCCTCCCGAGGCGCGAGCTCGACCTCTCGCGCTTCTCGTTCGCCGGCATTGGCGCTCGCGCGAGTGCGACGGGCTCGGACAAGGCGCTCGAGGCGGTCAAGGACCTCGTCAAGGGCATGAGCCGGAGCGAGCTGCCGACCTTCTCGTTCTGAGTGAGCGAGGGTCGTCGTTCGGAGGGGGGCCGGAGCTATTCGAGGCGAGGGCGGTGCGACTGTAGCGAGGCGCGAGGAGGTGGCTATCTTTGCGAACACGGTCGAGGTCTTGCTCTCTCTCTCTCTTTCTCGCGCCCGAGGTCGCTCTCGCTCGAACCGCGCACCGAGAGATCGAGTACGACAGAAATGGCACGGCGAACAACAAAGAGCGTCTACTAACAAACAGAGAGAGAGAGAGAGAGAGAGATGCACGTCCCCTCGCGGTGGGTCCTGCCCGTCGCCGCTCAGTCCATGAGGAGCAGCTCCCACGCAGCGAGCCCGCCCTCCCAGTAGCCGACGCCACCCGTGCGCTGCGCCTTTGCGCGCCCCATCGCGTACAGCCGGTACTGCTGCGACACCATGCTCCCGGCGCCGTTGCCCGCGCCGAGCGGCGTCGACGACGACGAGGGGCGCGAGCTCGGCGGGCGTGGGCCGACCGCCGCTGCGGCCGACGGCGTCGATGAGAGGCCCGGGACGTGCGCGACGAGCGGCTCGCGACGAGGGGTCGAGCCGGCGCGCGAGGGGGACGGGTCGGACTCGGAGGACGAGGAGGGCGGGGAGGGAGGCGCTGAGGGAGGGAGGGACGCGAGCACGGTCGCGACCGAGAGGGCGTGGCGCAGGCGGAGGAGCGACAGCGAGTGGCAGTGACGTTCAAAGTAGTCGAGCGAGTGCGGGTCCGCCTCGTCGACGAGCGGGCCGTCGCCCTCGGCGGCGACGGGTCCGTGCGCCGCAGCGACGTCGTCCCGCCGCTTCGACTCGATCTCGCGCTCGTCCTCGCGCTCGAAGGGCGCGGTCGAGAACGACAGCTGCAGCCCGTCGCCCGCCGTCGTGCCCGCCGCCGCCCCACCCTCGCGCTCGACGTCGCGCGGTCGCCCCCGCTCGCCCGACCTCGTCGCCGCATGCCGCGCGCGCACGTCGTCCGGCGTCGGGAGCTGGAGCGCGGCGCGAGAACGCGGCGAGGGCGGCGGAGAGGGCGCCTGAGAGACGGGGAGGGCCGGCCGGCGCGAGCTCGTGGTCGAGGTCGTGGTCGTGGACGACTCGCGGAGGAGGGTCGGGCGGACGGGCTTGTCGGGCGAGGTCGAGGGGCTCGAGCGCGACGCGGGGGACGTGGTCGAGGTCGGGGACGGGTGAGGGGGCGAGAGCTGGGCGCGCAGGGTCGGGAGGCCCGAGCGCGTCGACGAGCGACGGCGCGGCGAGGGCGACGACCTGCCGCTGCTGCGGTCGGGCGACGGCGGCGCGCGCTCGGACGACGTCGCCCAGGGCAGGTCGTGCTCTGCTGTCGAGGCGTTCGACAGGCTCGCAAAGCGCCGGCGGGGCGACGGCGTGCGCGGCGGGCTCGGCGGGAGGTCGCTCGATGTGCTCGCGGGCGAGAGCGCCGCCGCCGCCTCGCCGTCGAGCTTGGCCTCGCCGTCGTCGTCGCCGCGGTGGTCGACGTCGGGCGAGAGCGGTGGGAGCGACAGGAGGTCGTGCAGGGGCGGGCTCAGGCTGCGGCTGAGGCGGCCCTCGACGTCGCTGTCGTCGTCGTCCGAGATCCACGGGATGTGCTCGAACCCGGCGGGGAGGGAGCGGTGGCGGTCCTGCCTCGACGTCGACGCCGACGCGAGTTGAGGCGAAGGTGGCGGCGAGGGCGATCGGGACAGGTTGCGGTGCGAGAAGGGCGAGAGGGACGACTCGGCGAGGGCGATCTCGAGGACCGTCGAGGGAGGGTGCGACGACGACGGGGACGAGAGCGAGGCCTTTAGGGCCGGGGCGATGAAGGGCAAGTCGGGCGGCGTGTGTGGGAGGCCGTCGTCGTCGGTCGAGGCGCCGCTCGAGAAGCCGACGAGCGCGTCTTGGTCTCGACGATCGAGCGACGTGCGGCGCCGTGTCGTCCACGAGAGTATCGCCATGGTGGCCGTGTCGCGAGGCGAGAGATCGATCGGGCGAGAGGGCGAAGAGGCGGAAGAGGAAGAAGGCGAGATGGTGGTCGAGGTGGGGGTGCGACGGCTACCTCGTCGCGCTCGCAGCGAGCTTGACGTGTGCTTGGCGTTGGCGCAGGATAAGCGCAGGCGAGCCCTGCGGCGAGCAGGCGCGAGTTGACGTTGTCGACTCGATCCGGCTCGAGTGCCGGTGGGAGGCGCGAGCGCGGGAGGGAGTGCTCGAGGCGCGCGGCGGGTTCTTGAGCGCGAGAGCGGTGGTCTGCACGGTGGCGCAAGGTCAGTGACTGCAGAGGGCTCGGGCGGGAGCTCGATAGCGCGGGATCGCGGGCGTGCGCAACTCACCCTTGGAGCAAGCTGCGTCGGGCGCGAACTCGGGCGAGGTGGCTCGCGCTTGAATCTGGCGCGGCTCGCAGTGGCGAGAAGGAGGGAGCGAGAGAGGGCTGGCTGGCTCGTGGCGGCCGGGCAAGCAGAGTCCAAGGAGCGGGAGAGCGTCGACCGTGCCCTGCCGTCGCGACAGTCGGGCGACAATCGCGGGAGCGAGCATCGACCCCTCGGCGTCAGATGCGCGTGCTCGATGAACGATTCGACTCCCGATCACCCACTGCCGTCAAGTCTCGTAAAATGCGCCGACCCAACTCGGCTGCGCGCTGCAGAGAGCGGCACTCGCGCGTGGTTTTGCCCGGTCCCACGAAACCGGCAAGTGCGTGAACGAGCGGCTCGACCAACTGCGACCGAGAGCCGCGGTACTTGCACCGCCCCTCGACCCAGGATCGTGTGCACCTCGTCATCCTCGTCGAGTCCACACACTCTCTCGCGAACACCACTGCGCGCACCTGCTGCAGCCTCGCGTCTAGATGTGGGGCCTCTTGCTGGCCTCCTTGGCCGCCCTCGTCGCCGCCGTCGTCGTCTGGCAGGCGTCGCAAGAGCTCCTCCAGCCCCCCCGCCCTCGCTCGCTGTCGCCATCAGAGCGACCCTGTGCGACGGCGGGACCGGTACTTGCCGCACACCTGTCGAGCATCAACCTCGACGGCCTCACCATCATCCCCATGTGCGTCGACTCGTCCCTCCTCGTCTCGACCCCCTACCTCCCCGGCGGCTCACCTCCATCCTCGCGCGCAGCACCCGCCTGCCGCAAATTCGCGCCCGCATCCCGCTCCCCCTCCTCTCCAAGACCCTCGTCATCCACGCCGACCTCACCGCGTCCGAGCTCGTCTTCAAGCGCCTCCTCGTCGGGTCCGTCGCGACGACCGGGCGCGACATCGGGCGCGAGCCCGTCGAGCTCGCGGCCAAGGACCTCGACCTCGAGATGACGGGCAGCATCGGCCTGCGTCTCGCGCTCGGCCTGAGCAAGCCGGGCGCGACCAGGGCGCAGGACATGGTCGGCCGGGGCTGGACGTGGAAGCCGTCCGGCCGGCTCGAGCTCGCCCTGCGCGGTGCGGCGGCATCCGTCCTCGTCCAGCTCGTCCAGGCGCCCGAGGTCCTCGAGGACGTCGAGGTCAACGACTCGCACCCGTCGACGGCGCGCCTCGCGTGCACCTCGTCGACTTTCGTCCCCGGCACCATCTCGCTCCTGTCCCTCCAGGGCTTCTTCCCGTTCCGGTTCATCGAGACGGTCACGCACCACCTGCGCAACACGGCCCTCGTGCGCGTCCCGACCCAGCACCTCGTCGGGTTCCTCGTCCGCAAGGGCGTCGAGGGCCGCATCCCGACCGAGCTCCTCGGCGACCTCGCCCACTTTGTCGGCAAGCACGTCCACACCGAGGCGTACGGCTCGATCACGCGGCAAGAGCGCGACGACGTCCTGCGGCGCTTCTACCCGACGCCGCCGCCCGCACCCTCCTCCTCGTCCGCGACCAACCCTGCCCCGCGCAAGCACATGCGCTTCTCGGCCCTCTTCTACGGCGAGACGGTCCTCCACAGCATGTCGATCCCGGCGTCAAAGACGGCCGACGTTGGCAACGGCGACGCCGCGTCGTCGTCGTCGGCCAAGAAGGGCGAGACGCCCGTCGCCCTCTTTTCCCGCCTCGACGCGACCGGCCTGCGGTACACGCTCCTGTCGTCGCCGCTCCTCAACCAGGTGACGCGCGGCCCGCCAAAGGCGACGTTCGGCCCGGGCACGTTTGACCGCCTCGCGTGGTCCTCGGCCCACATCGAGCTCGCGCCCGCGCCCGTCACCCTCCTCGAGGGCTCGAGCGCCGGCCCTACCGGCCCCGGCGACGCAGCCTCGGCGGTGGCGCCGAGCGAGCGCGAGCTGGTCCTGCGCGTGCACGGCCTCGACGCGGCGCTCACTCTCGGCTTCCGCCTCGCGGCCGAGCTGCGCAGCGCGCCGAGCCTCCTCACGGGCCGCAAGACGCTCGAGGAGCGCGGCGTCGCCGTGACGCGCATCGGCGAGCGCGCGCTCGACGGCACGGTCGCGGGCGACAGGAGGAGCGTCGTTGCGGACGATGAGGAGGACGAGGGCGCGGGCGAGGGCATCTCGATCCACTTGCCGCTGAGGTGGGACAAGGTGAGCGGGAGGGTCGTCCTCTCGGGCTCGTTTGACGCCGAGGGCTCGACGGGTGGGGCAGCGGGCGAGCAGGCGCTCGCAGGTCCAGCGCCGTCGCGCCTGTCGTCGGCAGGCTCGTCGTCGTCGAGGAGGGGCGGCGCGCCACCGCGCAAGATCCGCCTCGAGGGCGCGTTCGGCACGGTCGCGCCGCGCATCAAGCTCGAGAGCAAGCTCGGCAAGGCGCTCGGCGAGAAGGTCGTCAATGCGCTCCTCGATGCTGTACAAGTGCGCCCGCCTCTCTCTCTCGCCGTCGTCGCTCGGACCCCGACTGACCCCTCGTCCCACAGTCGCACCTCGCCGCCCTCACCGCCCCGCTCGCGTCGTACTTCCTCGCCGACGTCATCCGCCAGAAGCTGCAGCGCGCGCTCGACGAGGTTGCCGAGAAGTTGCAGGACGAGGGAGGCGTGATCTGGAGCGACGGCGAGGGCCAGATCCTCCAACCCGGGCCAAAGCTCGGCTGAGGGTCGCTCTCGAGGACTCTCCTTGTATCGATGTACATCTAGGCAAAACTCTCTGCGACCTGTCCGACTCGAGAGAATGAGAGCGAGAGAGAGGCGACAAAATGAAAGAGTCTAAAGTTGCGCGCCGACGAGCTATCCCAAAATCTCCCAGTCTACGCCACCTTGACCTGGCCCGGCCAGTCTGCCCTGTCCTCCAGGCCGCGCTCGACCGGCCCGCACACGATCGCGCTCCCCTTGCCCTGCTCGTCGTCGCCGACGAGCCACCTGAGCTTGTCCTTCTGGCTCATCTGCTGCACGACGGCCCAGTTCTTGGCGCCGTGCTCGGCGCCGTAGCCCGTGAGGGCAAACGCGCGGTACGGCGGGACCGTGCGCCGGCCGTGCTTGATGACGAACCGGCTCATCGACTTGGCGTACGTAATGCGCGCGCCCGTCTTGGGGTGGGGCATCGAGCGGAACGTCGTCTCGATGTAGAGCCCTGCAGGGTCGACCGAGTGGGTCAGTACGACTGCTTCTGCCACGTCGAGAGCAGCGAAACGAGGGACGCACACTTGCGGTCGTAGCCCAGGAGCTTGTTGCAGAGCTCAAACTTGGCGAGGAAAGGGATCTCGCGCAAGAAGTCCATGGACGTGCCGCCGAGCGCGAACGACATGCCGACGATCTGCAGGGGACGTAGAAGGTGAGCGAGGGTATGACAGGAGAGGGATCGAGCGCTGGACGCACCCCGTACGCCTCGCCGACGAGCTCGAACGCGAACGGCCCTCGAACGTGGTCGAGGCAGACGGCGTATTCCGAGTTCGAAGTATGCGCGCCAAACGTATCGCAGCTGCTCGGCGTAGCACGGAAGGTGCGCGTCGTCGTGAAGTCGAGGAGCTCGTCCTTGCCGACCCGCCAATTGGCCCACTTTTTGCCCAGCTTGACGGCGAGCTGATAGCGCATCAATGGCCCAATGATGCGCAAGTGCCACACGCCAGGGAACGCGTCGGCATTGACTGTTGGGGAGCGAGAAATGTCGAGAGGAGGGCAGGAGAAGGGGGAGGACGGGGGAGGAGGAGGCAAGGAGGTCAGCGTCCGGCCCAGCTGCGTTCCAGCCGTGCCCTTTGTCCTCCTAGTAGACCGTCGCCGCAATTCGTCCCACGGTATCGAGCCCGCCCAACGAAGAGAACCGCCGCTCGTTCTCATCAGGCCTCCGGTGCCCGAGACTCGATCCTCGTCACCAACACCCAGGTCCAGTGCGGCTCGAGTCCCCCAAGGAGCCCAGTGGAGGGGAAGAGGGGGCAGAGAGATGCGACGCACTAATCAGGAGGGCGAAGAAGGCCCACTTGAGCGGCCTCGGAACGCTCGACGGCACGAGGGCGAGGACCGGCCGGAGGCGCTCGATGAGGGCGGCCGGGATGGGCAGCTTGCTGAGCAGGGCCGACATGATGCTGATGAGCTCGCTGAGCGGGTCGGCGAGCGGTGTGAGAGGAGCGAGAGGGGAGGAGGAGCTGGCGGCGCCGGGGCCGGGCTCGGCCCGATCGCTTGGTCCTCCGTCCGGTTCGGCGACTGGGTCCATCTTTCTGTCGTGCAGAGCTGCGTAGCGATCCGTTCCCAACGCCCGACTGCAAGCTCTGCCATCGCTCCTCTTGCCGACGCCGACGCGACGACCGAGACTCTCGCTTCCTCCTCTCGCTCGCACGAACTCAAAAGACCCTGCTCAACGTCGCGGAACCGCTCGAGCACGCTCAGTTGCACACAAACTTGGCATTGGCGTACGCCTCCAACATGGGGTTGCTCCCGTCGCGCGTCGTCGTCATGTCGGTCTCGCCCCACGTCTCGAGGAACGAGCCGTGCGCGTGCACCTGGAGCGTGCGGCCGCTCGGTCCGAGGCCCGACGCGAGCGGCGTCGAGGCGGACTCGTTGGCGCCCGACGACGAGGCCGACGACGAGGAGGACGAAGAGGTCGGCCGAGGGGACGAGGGCGAAAAGTAGGACGCCGAGAGGCGCGAGGTGGACGAGGACCCGGTCGTGGTGTCCGAGGCGCCGAGCGACTGCGTGGGCGGCGTCGCCATGACGAGCGAGTACATCTCGCGCATCGTCTCAAAGTCGGTCGGGAAGAAGATGTCGAAGAAGCCCGGCTGGACGAGGTACGTTGTGCACGGGACTGTCTGCGGGCGCGACGAGAGCGTGAGCGGCGTGACCAAGTACTTCAAGCGAGCCGAGCAGCCGCATGTGCGGCCGCAGGACTCGCAAAGAGAGAAAGGGAGACGCCGGGACGCACCTCGCCGGCGTAACGAGTCTGGACGACGGGCGCGTTGACGCCCTCGATCGCCTCGGGCAGCGAGTCAAAGTCGCTCATGAGCACGCGGTGGTTGGGGAACTTGTCGCGCAAGATCTCGAGGAGCTCGAGCTGGCGGGTCGGGACAAACTCGGGGCGGGTGAGGTTGGGCGCGAACGGGATGGTCGAGTAGATCGAGCGCGCGAGGGGGGACCGGCTCAGGAGCGGGTGGATGACGGGCGAGGGCGAGCCGCGCGCGCGCGACGAGGGGAGCTTGGCGCGCAGGGCCAGGTACCGCGCGATGAGCGGGTCGTGCACGGGCTCGTACAGCTCCGAGTAGTCGCCCGAGGCGTCGACGGCGACGACGCACTGCATCGGCTCGTGCGTGTCGGTCGTGTACCGGATGACGTCGTGCGGGAAGTTGTCCTGCGGGTGGGCGACACGAGAGGTCAATCGGGTGCGGCGAGAGGGCGAGGACAGAGTCCTCGAGGAGAAGAGAGAGCGAGGACGTACGAGCACCTCCATGGCGAGGAAGAAGCACGGCTCGTGCACGACACGGTCAAAGTCAAAGATGCTCTGGCCGATGATCTCGACCTTGTCCTCGTGGCCCCTCCTGCGCGCCTTCTCCTTGCCGAGCTCGCCCGCCCCGCCGTCCCCACCGCGCCCTCGCCCTCGCGCGCCCTGCGCCCGCCCGCGTTGCATGCCCTGGAGGCGCTCCGAGATCTCGATGATGCGGTACTTGGTGCGCGCGTACACGTCGGGCTCGTGCGCGGCGAGGTAGTCGAGGATGTCGCCCATGAGCGTGCCGTTGCCGGCGCCGATCTCGTAGATGATGAGGTCGTTGTACGGGAACAGGTTGAGCTTGTACGACGCGCACAGGTGGCGGGCGAGTGCTCGACCGTACCAGGGCTGCGGGTCGAGGGACAAGGTCAGGTGGCGGGCGCGAGAGAGAGAGAGAGGGAGAGCGACGGTGCGCACCTTGAAGAGCTCGGTCGGGGTATGCCACACCTGGCGCCCGACGCCCTGACCCATGACGGCTGCGCCCTCGCCCTCGCCGTCGTGCCCGCTCCCTCGGCCCTCGAACACCATGTACCGCCGCGCGACCTCGTCGTCAAACTGGGCCGTATTGCCGTACGAGCCAAAGTCGAACCCTTCTGCGCGCTCGGCCGCCTGGAGCTCGACGTCGCGCGCCTTGCCCTTGGTCGACGACGACGACGCTGTCGCTGCCGGGCCCGAGTGCGACGACGACGGGCTCGTGGTCGAGCGGAGCTTTGCGACGTCCGGGTCAAAGATCTCGACCTTGGTGGCAAAGTAGCCGTAGTTGGGGTTGTACAGCGAGTCCTCGATAAAGTCGCGCGCGAGCATGCGGACGCGCTTGGGCGGCTCGTCGAGGCGGACGAGGTCTTTCGCCTGGACGAGGCGGTACGACGCGGCGTTTGGGTCGTCCGGCTGCGGGTCGAAGGGGGACGAGGTCGGGAGGTAGTTGAAGCGGACCTCGCCCTGCTCGCGGTGCGACGTGAGGGCGGCCTGGGCGCGCTTCCTGCGCTGCGAGGCCTTGGTCGACGAGGTCGGAGATGAGGACGAGGACGAGGGCGGGGTCGACGACAGGGCGCGGGCGTGTGCGGGTTGGGCTGCGGCGCGCAGGGCGAGCTGCACTCGATGCATAGCTGTGCGCATGGTCGACTCGAGCTGAGGACGAGGTGGAGAGGAGCAGAGAGCGAGAGTCGGTCCCGCTTCATCTCCTCGTCGACCTCGCTCTCCTCCACTCCGCTCGGCTAGATCAGCTGGAGCTCGAATATACTCGCACGCCTACTCGCAACACCCTCCGCCAGCCAGAACCATGGCCAACGCCGAGCAGATTGCCCTCGACGCCAAGCTCTCGTTCGACGCCTCGCAACTCGTTGACTCGCACGAGCGACACAAGGCCCTCGTCGCCTTGAAGGACGCCCTCACCACCGCCAAGGCCGACATCTTGGCCGCCAACGCCCGCGACATCGAGGTGCGCCCGCCTCTTTTCCTCTCGCCGCCGGCCGGCCCCACTGCTGACAGACTCCCTCCTCCTCCTCCCTGCAGGATGCCAAGGTCCAGGTCGCAGCGGGCAAGATGTCGTCGACGCTCCTCAAGCGGCTCGACCTCCAGTCGTCCAAGAGCAAGTACGACGACATGCTCCAGGGCATCCTCGACGTCGACTCGCTCCCGGACCCGACCGGCCAGGTCACGTACGCCCGCCAGCTCGACGACGACCTCGAGCTGCACCGCGTTACGTGCCCGATCGGTGTCCTCCTCGTCATCTTTGAGGCGAGGCCCGAGGTCATCGTCAACATTACCGCGCTTGCCATCAAGTCGGGTGCGTTTGCGCCGCCTCTCTCTCTCTTTCTCTGCGAGATCTCGACTGACAGGGCGACGCTCTCCTGCAGGCAACGCCGCCATTCTCAAGGGCGGCAAAGAGTCGCTCCACACGCAGGCCGCCATGACGACCGTCATCCAGGGCGCCCTCTCGACGACGGCCCTCCCGCGCGCCTACATCCAGACCGTCTCGTCGCGGTCCGAGATCGCGTCGCTCCTGTCGCAGGACCGGTACATCGACCTCGTCATCCCGCGAGGGAGCAACTCGCTCGTGCGCAGCATCCAGAACGACTCGCGGATACCCGTCATGGGCCACGCCGACGGCCTGTGCGCCGTCTTTGTCGACGAGTCGGCCGTCGAGAAAAAGGCCATCAACGTCGTCGTCGACTCCAAGACGACCTACCCGTCGGCGTGCAACGCGGCAGAGACGCTCCTCGTGCACGAGGCCCTCCTGTCGACCCTGTGGCCGACACTCGCCGCGTCGCTCCTCTCGGCCGGCATCACCCTGCGGTGCGACCCGCCGACCCTGTCCGCCCTCACCTCGTCCCCCTCGACCTCGTCGCACGCCGCCTTTGCCTCCCTCGTCTCGCCCTCGTCGCCTGAAGACTACGACACCGAGTTCCTCGAGCTCACGCTCGCCGTCAAGGCCGTCCCCTCGTGCGCCGACGCCATCGCCCACATCAACGCCCACTCGTCGCACCACACCGACTGCATCGTCACCGAGAGCGACGACAACGCGAGGGCCTTCTCGCGCGGGATCGACTCGGCCGGCGTGTACGTCAACGCGAGCACGCGCTTTGCCGACGGGTTCCGGTACGGGTTCGGCACCGAGGTGGGCGTGTCGACGGGCAAGACGCACGCGCGAGGACCGGTCGGGCTCGAGGGGGTGCGTCCTCGCTCTCTCTTCCTCCGACCCTCTCTCTCTCTCTCTTTCCCTCTCTGCGCCCGGTCACTGATGCTCGTCCTCCTCCTCCTCGACGTGCAGCTCGTCATCTACAAGTACCAGGTGCGGTCGAGGGCGGCAGAGGGCCACGCGACGGCCGTCTTTGGCACCGGCGAGGGCCAGCGCCCGTTCCTCCACACGCCGCTTCCGCTCGGCGACGCGCCGTTCTAGCTCCCTCGCCCGTCGTGCAACGAGACGATGCGCAGAGACGATCCCGTGCGGCGCCCGAGAGAGAGCGACAGCGAGAATGTCCGTCCTGCGACCTGTGCGCTCAGTTCGCCCGAGCGCTCGGGGCTTGAACGAGGAGCTCTCGAGCGCCGGGGAGCTCGCTTCCCGCCTGTATGCTGCGAGACCTGTTCTGGCCCCTCGAGCTGTCGGTCGACGAGCGCGGCGAGGCGGGAGAGTGCTCAGACACGGCGACCGATTGACTCTTGTCGGCGGGAGGCGTGGGAACTGCTCGACGAGGGAGCGCCGCGAGAACTGCCGCGGATCTGCACGCGACCGGCGTTCCCGTGAGAGCTTGCAGCTGGCGCCCTTCCTCGCTCTCGTTTCGTTCAAGAGCTCGAGCGAGCGAGCCCGAGTTGGGAAGGCACCGAGGCGCGCGCCGTGCGACGCGACGGGCTGCGCGGGCTCCAATCGTCGACGCGCCTTCCGCGCACAGGTTGACTTTCGCAGGCTCTAGATGGAAGGGCGGGTTCCCAATCGCCGCTGGAGGAAGCAAGCTGCTGGAGCTGAGAGCTCGTCGAGTTCCCTCGCTCGTTCGCAAGGCCGCCCGCCTCTCGCTCTCCTACACATCCTGCGAGAGTCGACGTCCCGCCCGTCCTGCTGCACCCGCACCGCCTCGCCCGCACGCACCCACACTCGTTGACCTCTGCGCCTAGCGCTCGCACTTTAAGGTTGCGCGACGACGCACGCTCCCTCAGCCGATCGCATTCCGCGGCACTCGTCGATCAAGCCTCGCGCCAACAACAACAGGGTCGAGCGCAGTACATACTCTCGCACGGCGAGCTTGAGCGCCGGCTCTCGAACAACAACCCGCCTCCACCACCACCACCGCCCGCTCTCGCCGCGCCGCGCCGATGCCGGGCAGCCCTCTCTCGCCGCGTTCACCCTCGCGGCGACCCAACCTGTCCGTCGTCGTCGAAGCCGACGAGTACGACTTCTTCGACACCGCCATGTCGCCTACGCACCCAGTCCCGCCACCCTCCCGACGCTCGTACCCCGACACGCCGTCGCCCCGTCGCGCCCGCGGCGACTACACGAGCGTCCCGCTCCTCCTCGACACGATCGACGAGGGCGACTCGTTCGACGAGAAGACCGGGTCGCCGTTCCCCGGGACGCGGTCGGCGAGGCGCCAGGAGGTGTACGGCCTCGCGCGAGGCGCCGACCTGGTCGAGGTCCGGGCGCCGTCGAGTCGGCTGCGCACGCTCGCGCTCGTCGTCCTCGGCTCGGTCATCTCGTACTCGCTGTTCTACCTGTCGACGCAGACGTCGCTGCTCGGCGGCGACGACGGCGGCGGCGAGGGCGCGGCGCCCGCGGCGGCAAAGGAGACGAGGTGGAGCGCGACGCTCCTCGTCCAGGAGCCGGCCAACACGTCGCTCGTTGCGCACGCACCGGGCTACAACCCGCTCTTCCCCGACCAGCCTCTCCAGTTCGGTGCGCCGCAGCGTCCTCTTGCGTCGTTGGGGAGAAGGAGAAGAACCGACGAGCTGACCACCTTCTCGCCCTCGAGCAGATCACAACCTCGCCATCGAGTCGATCCGGCCGACCATCTCGACCTCTGAGCCGTCGACCATCGTGTTCCACTGCCGACACGACGACGTCGCCCTGTGCGCCAACGCGTACCGCGTCCTCCTCGTCGGGCCGACGCTCCACTCGCCGCCGCACCAGCGGTCCCGAGCGCTCGACGACCGCCGCGTCGAGGTGACGCTCGACGCCGTTCGCGACCCAGGCGCGTACAGCGTGTACGCCTGGCCCGAGCACGAGACGTGCGACCAGTTCAACCACGGCGACACACCGGCCTGTGCGTGCTCGAGCCTCTTTCCTCCCTCGTCCCTTCCTCCTCCTCGTACGTCGAGCGAGCCAGGTCACTGACTCGCCGCACCTCGTCTCGCCGCTCGCAGACCACCAGCTCGCCGTGTCGGGCACGCCGTACCAGCTCGCGGTCGTCGGCGAGCAGCCGCTCGACTATGCGCGAGGCTGCATGGCCTCGGACGACCTCACCGAAGGCAGGTGGGTGTCCAAGGCGTACCTCGACCCGGAGCACAACGAGTTCGACTCGCCCTTCTACAACTGGCTCGAGTCGCACGTGCGTCCCCTGTCTCTGTCTCTCTCTCTCTCTCTATTTTGGCGCCCTCGAACGAGAACGAGCGACTGACCCCGCCTCGAGCCGTCTCGCAGGTCGCGCCCCGGGTCCAGTCGCCGCAGCTCCTGACCGACTACAGCACGTTCGGCTACGTGTGGGCGCCGTACGCGTGCAAGCCGCACCACCGCTCGTTCGACGAGTGGATGGACACGCTCAAGCCCGAGCGCCTCGTCGTCTTTGGCGACTCGGTCATGCGCGACCTGTTCTGCCTCAACTTCAAGCCGGGCGAGGACGTGTGCAAGTACGAGATGTTCGGCGACTACGAGCACCTGTGAGTTTTGGGGCCCGTCCTCCTCTTCCTCTTCCTCCCGTGGACCTTCTCTCGTCGACCTTCTTAAACCGCGTTCCTGACCTCGTCGTCGCACCTCGCTCCCACTCTCGCAGGGACAAGTACATCGCGCACGAGCGCTCGGACGGCGGCATCACGCACCTGCACTTCCACTGGCAGCCGCTCGCCAACGCCGACCACCTGCGCACGTTCCTCTCGTCGCTCGACTCGCCCGCGTCGCACGTCTTTTTCAACGTCGGCCTGTGGCTCACGCGCGAGGACCCGGACCCGGACAGCTACGCGGCGAGGATGACGCCGCTCGTCGAGGCCCTCGTCGACGAGGCGCCGAGGGCAAAGATTGTCGCGAGGACGATGGCGGGTGCGGTGCAGTCGGTCGTGCGTCGCTGTCTCTCTCTCTCTCTCTCTTTCTCGCTCTCTCGCGTCGAGCTGTGACTGACAGGCTTTGCTTTTGCAGGCGTGCTTCGACCTGTGGCGCATCCAGAGGAGGATCATCGAGCCCGCCAACGCCGCCTACCTCAAGTGCGCCCTCTCTCTCTCCCTCTCGCGCCGCCGGGGGACCCCCTTTCCTGACCCCACTCTCTCGAAACCAGGCTTCTGCGCAAGTACCCCTCGATCCAGCCGGTCAACGTCTACCCGATCTACAACGACCGGCCCGACGCGACGCAGGACGGGCGGCACTGGCAGCGGCTGCCCGGGCTCGCGCTCGAGCGGCCCGAGGAGGGCGCCGTCGGGTACGCCGTCACCGACTTGATCTTTGAAGGGTGGCGCCTCCAGGAGGTGCAGGAGCGCGTCGACGTCCTGGCGTGAGACGGAGCTCGCGGTCCGTGTACTTTGTTCTCTTGCCCTTTCCTCCTCACGACTAGCAGTAACCTCTCTGTTGTAGCTCGATAGACGTGCACTTTATGATTGACAACAAGCAAAGACTGAGAGAGAGAGAGACAAAGAGAGCTCTACTGCACGACGACGCCGTCCTGCGACCCCTCGTCCAAGTCGCCCTCGCTGTCGTCCTCTGGCGCATCTCCGGCGTTCTGTCCCGCCGGCGGTCCGGCATCGCCATGCGTGTCGCGCTCGTCCTCGTCCTCGTCCCTCTCTGGCCTCGTGCGCTTGCCAAACAGGCCGCCGAGGTGCAGCTCTTGCCAGGTGCGCTCGGGCGCGTCGCCGAACGTCGTGCGCTCGTACAGGTCGCGCAGCTCGAGGGCCGGGAGCGAGGTCGCGAGCGAGGCGGCGTGCGTCGAGGGGTCGGTCGAGGAGGACGAGGGGCGGGCGAGGGACGACGGCCCGCGGCGCAGGGTCGACGAGAGGTGGGGCTTGTAGGGGTTGCCGTACGGGTACGAGGGGTGCGCCTGCGAGGGGAGGACGGCTACGAATGTGCATGTGTCAGTTCGAGTGCTTGGCAGGGGGTAGGCAAGAGACTAGGGGCGACGCACCGTCGTCCTCCTCGTCCTGGTAAGGAGGGAGGAGGTGGAGCGGGACGCGGATGTCTGCGAGGGCGAGGGGACGGTCAGGTCGTTGTGCTGGCGGGGGGCGGGCACCGGTCGAGGTAGAGCTCACCGTCGTCTGGCAAGTCCCACCCTTGGCGCTCGTCGTCCTCGTCGACGAGGTGATGGCTCGCAGACGACGCGAGGTTGAGGTACGAGAAGCGGTCGTCCTGCGGCAGTGCGAGTGAGCGGGTCGGCTCCCAAGGTGCTCGAGAGTGCAAGGAGAGTACTCACAGCCATGTCCCAGCCCAGCCTGTGCCGCCGTGAGAGAGAGCAAGAGGTCGACCTCCGGCTCCACCTCTCGGCACCACTCTCGCCTCTCGCTCGACCGCTACACCTCGTGCGAGCTCCCACGATGGCCCAGAGGACAGACATGCCCACCCAGATCCCGCCCGAGACCCTCCAGTACGCCCCCCAGGTGCCCCCCCCCCCCCCCCCCCCCCCCCCCCCCTCCTCCTCATCAGCTCCTCGCGTTCACTGACCGTTCCCTTCCCTTCCCTCCCTCTCTGCCGGGTCCCCGGTGTCCCGCAGTTCTTCACCGCGTGTCGACAAGGCTCGATCGAGACGCTCCAAGCCCCCTTGGAGGCTGGCCTCCCCGCCAACCTCACCAACGAGGTGCGCCCTCCCTCTCTCTCTCCCTCTCTCTGCCCCTTGCGCACCCACACCTAACCTGTCCCCTCACACCCGCACGCAGAACGGCGACACCCTCCTCATGCTCGCGTCCTACCACGGCCACGCCCCGCTCGTCTCGCTCCTCCTCGCCCACGGCGCCGACCCGAACCGGCTCAACGACAAGGGCCAGTCCCCGCTCGCCGGCGCCGTGTACAAGAACGAGCGCGACGTCGTCGACGCCCTCCTCGCCGGCGGTGCGGACCCGCACGTCGGGCAACCGACGGCGAAGGAGACGGCGAGGATGTTCAAGAACGAAGAGTTCGAGAGGCGGTTTCGAGAAGAGCCGGGGCCGGTGCCGGCTGCGGCTGCGTGAGCGAGGGCTTGAGTGTAGCAGATCTTGTACATACGCATGAGCGAGCGAGCGAGAGCGCGAGTCCCGAGGTCTCGAGCCTGAGCGCGAGCGAGCGAGACGAGTTGAGCTCTTGCTGGCGCAGCGACAGCTCTCGTCGTCTCGCCCCGGGAGACAGAGAGAGAAACGGCGTGTATCATTGCGTGCAGTGCGAGTGAGGTGGGTAATCGTGTCGAGGCAGGGGAATGGATGGACAAGCGTGCGAGGGTGTGCGGCGGGTGCGCGAGGGAGCGAGATGGAGGAGAAGGGCGAGGCGAGGGCGAGACGAGGGGCGTCTAGAAGTAGGGCTGCCAGCCTGTGGAGGACGAAAAGAGGAGGGCGATCGAGTCAGTTCTGCGCGCCGGGTCGACCCATCAGGACAGAGAGAGAGAGAGAGAGAGAGCGAGTGGGGACGCACCGGAAAAGATGCGCGCCAGGTTGCTCGGGTTGGTCGCCTCCTGGATGAGCTGGTTGACCGTGTACTGAACCGACAAGCGGTCGTCGAGCTTGCCGCGCACGATGGCGAGCGCGCGGTCGGCGTCGTCCGGCAGCTCGTCGAGCGCGCGCGCGTCGCCGTCGTCCGAGCCCTGGATCCGCTTGGCCATCTCGGCAGAGACGGCCCTGCGAGCGAGCACACCGGCTCGTGCGTTAGGGAGGGGCTCGTCCAGGAAAGAGAGAGAGCAAGGGGCGCACCAGTTCTGCAGCGGGTCGTGCTTGAAGACGCCAAGGATGGTCATGATGACGCTCGACCGCTCGCGCAGGACGCGCAGCGTCTCCTCGCAGCACCGGCGGAACACGCCGTCGACGCCGCTCATGCCGAACCCGTCGACGAGGTTCTGCGTCAGGCGGAACGGCACGAGCTCGGGGATCGGGAGGCGCTTGCCCTGCACAGGGCGGCGGCGAGGAGAGAAAGAGTCAGAGCCTGCTCGGCGGGCTGACGACGACGACGAGAGAGACAGAGAGAGAGCGTGGGGCGCACCTGGTCGAAGGCGATGCCGAGGTCGATGTGGACGAGCTCGCCGCGCGCCTCGTCCATGAGGATGTTGGACACGTGGCGGTCGCCGAGTCCGACGACGTGGCCAATGATGGACGTCGTCGCGACGCTGCGCGAGTAGTTGAGGCGCATGTCGAACCACAGCGACGGCACCTTGTGCTTCTGCCAGAACAGGTACCGCAGGAGCGGCGGCGTCTCGGTGAGGATCTTGCGGAACGCCTTGTCCTTGTCGGCGTCGCGCCGGTCCGGGTGGTTCTTGTGCTTGCCCTCGATGATGCGCAGCTGCTCGCGGGCGCGCTTCTGGACGCCTGGGGCCATCTGCCTGAGAAGAGAGAAAGAGAGAGAGAGGTCTCAGGGACATGCGGCGAGAGAGACGAGGAAGGAGAGACAGATGGGGGGACGCACTCGTACAGGCCGACGAGAAAGTTGCCGAGCGGCGCCGTATTGGCGACAAACTCGATCAGGCCGTTGCTGTTCTGGAGCGGAATGACCTTGTACGTGCGGATCTTGAGGTTGCGGCGTCGGCCGCCCTCGTCGCGAGCGAGCAGCCGGTTGACGAGCTCGAACGCCTGCTCCATGACGGCGTCTTGGCGGATGTCGTCGTCGCCCTTGAGCTGCGAGAGAGGGCGCACGAGAGAGAGAGTGAGTGCGTGCGCGCAGGAGGTGGGCCGAGACGAGAGCGGGGACGCACGAGCTGCTTGTGCCGGTCGCCGTTCGAGTCGACGCAGACGACGATCTTGGGCAGGTGGATGCCGCCGGCCATGTCGAACGTCGGCTCGTAGTGGTGCAGGCGCGCAAAGTCGTCGTACCGGCCGCTGGCGACGACGGGCAGGTGAAAAGTCGTGACCGGGATCGGGAGGTCGCGGACTTTGGTGAGGATGCGCATCGAGCTCTTGATCGGCAGCGGGCCTTTGCGGACCGTGCCGCGGCTGTCGAGGTAGCCCGACTTGGACGACTTGAGCGGGAACGACGCCCACTCGGCGTACGCCTCGCACGCGAGCTCGACCGCCTCGACTCGAGCCCGCAGCTCGCCGATCGCCTTGACCTTCTCGACAATGTCGCCGGCGGCGTGAGCGCGGCTGTTGTTCGTCGCCTGCGTGAACCCGACGCCGCTCGACTGGCTGCTCTGCGACGACCTGCGCGACGACTTGCCCGTCGGCGGCGCGCGCAGGGCTTGGACCGGGTACAGGGCGTGCAGGCCGTGCTCGACGCACAGGCGCAGGACGAGCCTGCGCACGTTGGACGCCGACGGCGGCGAGTCGGCCGACTTGGACAGGCGCGCCGACAGCTGGTACGCGAGGAAGACGAACTTGAACGACGGGACGTGGTTGAGCAGCGGCTTGAGGCGCATGTGCAGGTCGTCGTCGTGGGCGCACCCGAGCCACAGGGCGCAGAACCGGAACACCTTGTCGTCAAACTCGTCGGCCGCCTCGAGCGTGCGGGCGTAGTTCTCGAGGCTGCGCCACAGCATGTTGCGCGCCGTGTCCTCGGCCTCGTCGACCTGGCGCTGGTCGTCGGCAATGTGCTGCTCGGCTTGACGTCGCGACCGGTCGGCGTGATTGCTGTCGTACGACGAGCTCTCGGCGGCACGGCGCTGCAGCTCCTCGTGCTCGAGGTGCTTGCGGCGCTGGTACGCCTCGGTGCGCTTGCGCCGCTCGGCGGCGACGCGCGACAGGTCCTCGAACTGGGCGTCGGCGAAGCAGGCGAGCGCGTGAAAGACGCGAGCGCGCTCGGCGGCAGGAGCTTGGCGGTCGAGGGCGGCGACGGCCGGGTCGAAGCACTCGGTGAGGATCTCGGTCGCGTCGCGCATGCGCGCCTCGGACATCCACGCGCCCTGTTCGCGGTGCGCATCATGTCAGGTCCGTCCTCGACGGACGCAGAGAGGGGCATGAGGAGAGGAGCGAGAGGGGACGCACGAGCTTGGCAAAGTCGGCCGCCGTCTTGGTCGGCGACTGCTTGTGGACCATGCCGAGGAGGTGGATGGCCGACAAGTGCTCGCCCTGGGCCCACAGGACGTCGGCGAGCTCGCGGTCGACGTCGAGGCCGGACGCCGCGTCCTCGACGAGCGTGTGCGCGAGCGTGACGGCGTTGAAGGCCGCCTGGAGGTGGCCCGACGAGCGCCCGACCCGGCTCAGCTCGAGCAGGCACGCCCGCTCGGTCGCCGTCGCGGCCTTGAGCAGGTCGCTCGCAAACTCGTCGCCGACCTGCTCGACGCGCTCCTTGGCCCGGATCCCGCGCACGAGGCTGATGCGGGTCGACAGCACGCGCTCGGCGTGGAGGAAGCTGCAGGGATGCCGCTCGTCAGGATTGCGACTATGAGGCGCTCGAGAGAGGGACAGAGAGAGAGAGAGAGAGAGAGGTGGGCGCACCTCAACTGGCTCGAGACGAGGGCGAGGTCGGCCGACAGGTATGGCGCCGCCTTGTTGCCGTCCTGGCGGTGCGCGAGGCGGTGGACCTCGCGCAGGGCGAGGATCGTCGCGAGCGTGTCGCCGCTCGGGCGTGGCAGGTCGAGGCTGACGGCGCCGAGCTTCTTGACCTCGTGGACGAGCGCCTCGGACGCGGCGTCGCGCGCGACCTGCGAGCTCCTCGCCGTCCGGCTCGCGCGCAGGGCCTCGTACAGCGAGACGCTCGACGTGTCGGCGGCGGCGCGCTCGATCGGCAGGTCCCACACGTCGGTGCGCCACGCGAGGCTGTAGGGCAAGTCGGGCGGGACGTCGTGCTCGCCGACGGCGCCGTCGAGGCGGGCCGGCTGGAGGACCGACAGCGCGAGGCGGTTGAACCCGAACGCGGCGAGCGACGACACGACGCCGGTGATGGCAGAAGGGTCGCGTGCGCCGTGGCCGGGCGTCTGCGCCTCGTGCCCGGCGCCGTACATGCGGAAGGCGGGCTCCCACTGCGCCTCGTGGCGGTACCGCCGCAGGAGCGCCTGCCGCGTGTCAGGCGACTCGCGGCCGTAGAAGCCGTCGGGCTCGTCGATGCACGCGTAGATGCCGTACAGGAGCGCCTGCCCGCTCTCGTCAAGGCGGCGGTCGTACGCCGAGCCGTGCGACGTGAGGGTGAACATGGCGTTGTACTCGTGGGCGAGCTCGAGGAAGAGGAGGGCGGCGAGGTACGCGTGCGTCTTGACGGCGCCCTTGGCGAACAGGATCCACGGGACCGACAGCCACGTGTCGAACCGCGAGCGCGACGACGGGTGCAGGTCGGGCCGGCCGTACTTGCGCAGGTGGATCGCCGTGTCGACGAGGAGGCGCACGACGTCGACGTGCGTCGCCGGGCTCGACAAGAGCTGCTCGAAGTACCGCGACAGCTGCCCGTCCGACTGGCCGTCGCCGCTCGTCGCGCCCTGGAGGAGGAGCGAGTGGACGAGGTGCGGGAAGACCTCGGCGGCGAACGCGGCGCTCGACCGGATGAGCGGCACGACCTGGGCGAAGAACTCGTCGCTCGCGGCGCGGTCCTCGGCGAGGAGCTCGGCGCACGCCTTGACCCAGCCGTCGTACGAGCGGCCTCGGGCGAGCCAGTCGGGCCCGGCGAGCGACGCGAGGGTGCGGTCGGCCCGCCTGCGCAACCGGCGCGGGCGCTGCAGCGATGGGTCGGCAAAGACCGACGCCAAGGTCGACGTCGGCGAGCCGTCCTTGGGGAACAGCGACGCGACGTTGCCCGGCGAGCTGAACACGAGTCGCGCCGAGTCGAACGCAGCCTGGACGAGCTTGCGGTCCGGGTCGCCGAGCCGGCCGAGAACGCGAGCGGCGATGACCTTCTTGATGCCCTGGTCGTTCGGGGGGTCGGCCGTGTCGCTCGTCTCGGCGCGGTTGACCTCGGGGTCGTCGACGCTCGGCGCCTGGACGAGGCCCTGGGCGTCGAACAGGAAGTCGGCGAACGCGAGGCAGCCTGCGGGCGCAGGCTCGTCGTCCGGCGACAGCGCGTGCATGAAGTGCCACGCGAGGCGACTGCTGCCGCCGCCGCCGCCGTCGGCCAAGAAGGCGGCGTACGCCGGGTGCTGCCGCAGCGCGTTGACGAGGCCGAACTTGCTCACGGGCGCGAACGACGAGGCGACGGCGTCCGACAGGGTGCCAAAGTCGAGCGACTCGGGCTTGACGAGCGGGCGAGGCCACAGGAGGGCCGCCTCGGTGACGGTGGGCTCGTGCGCGGCGTGCAGGCGCCCCAACGCCGAGTCAGCCGCCGTGCGCAGGCTGTCGACGACCGGTTGCGCCTCGGACCCGACGACGAGCTGCTGGAGCGGCTCGAGCGCGAGGGCGATGCGGACGAGCTGCTCGCAGAAGGCCGTCTGGAACGGCGCAGCGACAGCCGGCTG